CAGGGCGGTGGCAGTGGCGGTGGCGGGAGGAAGGTGCCACCCAAGTTGTGAGAGGAGGAGGCCATGGGAACACCCCGGGGGGAGTGTTCTAGGAAGAAGGAACAGGGAGTTCGAAGGCCCCCACACGGGCAGGGGATTGGCACCATCAAGGGATGGAAAGCAGGGCTGTGGCATCACAAATGCAGTGGGGTGGGGGAGGAGGAGGGGGAGGGGGAGCAGGGACAGATGAGGAAAGGTCTACAGGTGATGGAGTGGAGTTGAAGTGCATCATGGTTGCCTTAGTGGCCACTTAAGGATGGTCTTTCTTTGAGGTGAGAGGAGCCAGAATGCCCTATGATGGAAGATGACCTGGTTCTACACAAGAAAGACAAGAACTCTTGTCCTCTGGGGGTGACAGGCTCACAGTGGGACGCAGGCAAGAACCCAGCAAGGAATTAGAATGCACAATATGCCAGGAGGCAGCCAGTAAATGATTCTCATCATTGATATTTCTGCCTTTCTCTCCTCCTCTGAAATCGATAAAAAAAAAAAAAAAAAGAGACGGTCATCCAAATCTAAGTAGTGACCATCGAATGGCGATTCTGGAGGATCCCCTGGAATTGCTTAGAGCAAGCATGTCAAATGCGGCCCACAACGAATATTTTGGGGGCCCAGCCAATATAACAGTATGCAAGAAACGTTTTAATAAAAATTTCATAACTTAATTTTTACAATACCCTGTTATACGTAATTATTAATAACAAACTACAACATTCGCTAATGACTGATTGCTATAATCGTGTTGCATTCATTTCCCTTATGCGCAGGCGCACCATTTTCCTCCACTAATACTAGCAGCGAATATTTTAGCAGCCGAAGGCCACATCATTAGTCTTGGACTGACTTTTTTGGTGTGCGCGACAGGAAATATTTCGCTCTTGGAAAACAAGAAAAATAGGTTTATTTGCATTACGCTTATTAGTTTGTGCAGTTATCCAGTGTCTGGTAAGTGAATGTTTAAGAAAAAATGTTAATTTTTATTAAAATGTTCTATTATTTTATGTTAACAGTCATTCATTCATTTCAGCCCTTTGTATGCAGCATGTCTCTATCGGAATAAACCTACGTTTCAAAGAAAACTGAAGCTTTTGTTTTTTTGCGGCCACATCCACTTGCACCTTGTTTATTTGGCCCGTGTTGGCCTGTGAGTGTGACAGGTTTGGCTTGAGACTTCCGGCTGATGGTGAGGACGGAAGAGGCTGCAGAATGAGTCCAGATGGTGCCAGGACGTCGTCCGAGGGATTTATCATGAACCAGGCCGGCTGTTCACAAGCGGGAGAGGATTCCCCCACGCTGAGGCCAGATGCGCAGGCAGTTTCCAGAAGCTTCCCATGGCTCTTGCAGCTCCGCACACAGCCCTGCTGTGAGAATGTCCCGGGGCTCAGTGATGCGCGCAGCCTCATGTGAGGCGTCGCCCCCTGGGCAGGGCCAGGCGGGCTTGCCTGTCAGACCTGCTCGCCTGCTGCTGTTCAGCCCAGACCGCCCCAGCGTCCCTTCTGCAGGACCAGGAAGTGCAGCATGGAGCCGGTCCCGAGGAGAGCAGGTCAGCACTGGGGAGGGCGGGCAGGCCCGAAGCGGGGGTCTGAGAGCTGTCCTGGGCGGGGTCTCCCTCCCGAGGGGGTGGAGCCTGGTGTGGGGCCGTTGGGTTTGGTTAAGTGCATGGGCGCTCTCTGGCTCAGCTCCACCTTCAAGGAGGGCAGTGTGGGTCGGGAGGGATGAGGATGCTCTGCTTTGGACTCTGATGTCCGCATTGGTGCCCAGGAGGAAAGGAGAGGACGGAGGGAGGTTTCTAGAAGGGAGTTTTCTAGGTTTGGGTGTCAGGCGAGGAGGACCAGCTGCCTCATTTGTGGCTCGTTTTGTGAGGCACAGGGAGAGACCGGGTCTGCTCCTTCAGCCCTTCCCCGCTCAGCTGGTTTCACATGTTGGTGATCCAGGATCTTTGAGTCAGACACGAGGGGAGGCGGCTGCACTCACACGTGCGCCATCTGGCTGTCATCTGGAACAGCGGTCGCCAACCTGGCGGACCTCAGACACCGGCTGGCGACCGCTGCGCTAGGAGGCATGAGGGCAGCCCTGATGCCTGTGCTGCGCGAGAGGCATCCCAGGGTCCCAGGGAGCAGGAAGCAGGGATGAGCAGGAAGTAGCAGAGGGAAGGGGCAGCGGCAGGGGGCACTCAGCTTCCTGGGCAGAGCACCCCCGGGCAGAGGACCGAGCCTGGTGGCCCTCCTGTGTGTCTGGGTCTCCTCTTCCCATGAGAACACCCGTCATGGAGGGCTTCAGGCTCGACCTCATGACCTCATCTTAACCTGCTGCTACCTATTTCCTAAAAGGTCACACCCACAGGTGTTGGGGGTTAGGACAGTCAGGGTGCCTGCAGGCCCCGCCTGGGCTGAGAGGAAGAAGAAAGGGGAGGCTGGTACCCACAGGTCAGGGCGGCTGGCCTAAGGGAGGCAGGGCCAGGCCAGGCCCCAGAGCGTCTCCCCACCGCCCTAGCCCGCATCCTGTCCAGGGGGCCACGGCAGTGGGAACGGTCGCCGGCAGCTCTGGGGCCTTTCTGTTTTTAAAAAACAGCGTGAGTGGGGTCCGATCTATATGCTGCACAGCTCGCCATGTCAGGAGCGCAGCGCAGGGGCTGCTAACAATCCAGCCAGGTGCGGCGAGCACATCGGCCTTAGGACATTTCATCCTAAAAAGAAACCACATGTACTTCAGCCACCCCAGCCCCAGCCCTCTCCTCAGAGGCCGGGAGCCAAAGTCAGGGGTCTGCAGGGCCGGCTCCCTCTGAGGGCCACCTGCTCTGAGCTCCTGGTGCTGCCCGCAGCCCTCGGCGTCCCCCATCCTCTGCCTGGGCTGTCACCTGGCCCCTCCCTGGTGTGTCTGGGTCCCTCGTCCCATGAGGACACCTGTCATATAGGGCTTAAGGCTCGACCCAATGACCTCAGCTGTCGCGATCTGTTTCCAAAAGGCCACACTCACAGGTGTCGAGGGGTTAGGACTTCAACCTATCTTTTGGGGGGACAGCACCGAACCCACAACACCCTGGTTCGTGAGCATCCATGGACTGTCCCCTGCAGAAATGGAATGCGCTGCCCAGGGGCAGCGGGACAGACCTACTCGAGGGCCTGCCCCCTCCCCCCATCTCACCTCCCCCCTGTCCCGTCCCCTGCCCGCAGGCCCTCCCTCCAGCAACGACCCTGAGGGGAGGGGTCAGTGGGGTCTGGTCAGAGGTAAGGCCCCCGCACACTGGCCACCTGGCACCTGCCCACCCTCCTGGCATCAAAGGCTACAGAGCCCCGTTCTCTTCCAGACCCCGGCTTCCCGGTGCAGCGGGCGCTCTGCGTACCGGGCAGAGCCAGTGGAAGGTCTGTGCCTTTGTTTCCTGGGTCAAAGTTTGCCTTTCCCCTCGCACTAGTCTCTGGGACCTGAACTTTGAGTTTTGGAGCAAGTCATATGGCGTGAAGTCTCGTCAGATGCCCTGGGCACTGGTTTGGCAGGCTCTTCCTGCCCAGCCCTGCCCGCGGCCGGGAATCCGCAGAGGAGCCTGAGCCTGCAGCCGGGAGGGGACACGGGCCCACTGCACGCCAG